CATCATTTCTCTCATCTCTGTGCTCTTGGTAGCCAGCTGCATGGTACCACTCATGAAGACTCAGAACAGAATGCTCGGTACTCTGTTCCTTGGGGCAATGGGTGCCTTTCTCTCCAAGCCCTTGGTGGCCTGCTTCACCTACATGATATGGTTCTTCTTGTTGTTAATATGATACTGACACAGCAAGTCATTGTCCAAATGTCGCCATGTACTTGCATTGGGAGTTTGTAACATAATTACTTAAGTTTTTTTTTTTTTACTACAGGGCAGCTGAGAGAGTGTTTGCATCTAGAATAATCATGTTTTTTCCAAGACATGCAATAGAAGCAGTATTTTTCAATTTTTTTAAAAACTTTTTTTAAGATTTTTATTTATTCTTTATGTATACAACATTCTGCTTCACACCAGAAGAGGGCACCAGATCTCATTACAGATGGTTGTGAGCCACCATGTGGTTGCTGGGAATCGAACTCAGGACCTCTGGAAGAGCAGTCAGTGCTCCCAACCTTTGAGCCATCTTGCCAGCCCCTTTTTATCTAGAAAGATTTTTAACAAAAATTTCAGATAGGTTTTACTTAGTATGATTTGTTTTGATGTGGACATCTCAAATAGACGCTAACACAAAGCAACAATCTGCAACATACTGAAGAGAAACCAAGACTGGCTTGAAGGAGAACCACATATATACACAATGACAATCCCTTACACACAAATAGATACATTTAATCTAAAAACCTTAAGAGTTTCCTTTTTTTCTTCTTTTTTTTTTAATTAGAAACAAGATTGTTTTACATATCAATCCCAATTCCCTCTCCCTCCCCTCCTCCCCTGCCTCCCAGAACTAAATCTCTACCTATCCCATACCCTTTCTGCTCCCCAGGGAGGGTGAGGCCTTCCACAGGGGGTCTACAGAGTCTGTCATAACCTTTGGAATAGGGCCTAGGCCCACCATTGTGTGTCTAGGCTCAGGGAGTATTTCTCTGTGAGGAATGGGCTACCAAAGTCCATTCTTATGCTATAAGAGGCCCCATAGATTTCTGAGGTCTCCTCATGGACACCCACATTCGTGGGGTCTGGATCAGTCCCATGCTGGTTTCCCAGCTATCAGTCTGGGGACCAAGAGCTCTCCCTTGTTCAAGTCAGTTTTTTCTGTGGATTACACCAGCCTGGTCTTGACCCCTTTGCTCATCACTCCTCGTTCTCTGCAACAGGATTCCAGTTCAGTTCATTGGTTCCAGCTGCTGTTTGAAGACTCTAGGATGGCATATAAGGTAGTCATCTATCTCATTATCAGGGGAGGGCATTTAAGGCAGCCTCTCCACTGTTGCTTAGACAGTTAGTTGGTGTCATCCTTGTAGATCTCAAGACATTTTCCTAGTGTCTGATTTCTCTTTAAACCTATAATGGCTCCCTCTATTATGGTATCTCTTATAATGCTCTCCTCTATTCTTCCCCCAACTCAGCCTTCCTGCTCCCTCAAGTCCTCCTCATCCCTCCTCTTCTCCCATTTTTATTCTCCTATCTCCTTCCCCCACCATCCCCCCATGCTCCCAATTTGCTCAGGAGAGGAAATAAACTCAGGGTAGCACATCCCAACATGCTTTTGTCCACTGAGCTACACCTTGAGTCTAGATTGACATAGCAAAGTCAGTCAGTGTGTTTAGTTAGAAGAATAAACATTGCACTGCCTCCTTAGTCTTCTTTGTTGCAGTAGGAGATACCAGAGACTGGGTGTCCTAACAGAAATTCATTTCCCACAGTTCCTGTGGTTAGGGATTCCAGGACCAAGATTAAGCAAAGCAGGGTTCATTCAGAGGCCCCTTAATTAGCTGCCAGTCATCCTGTGCTCTCATGGCCACCTGCACATAAGGACAGGGAAGCAAGCACTCTGGCATGAAACATCACTAGTCCATGTGATGTTTCACCCTCAGGACATTGTTTAAACTTGCTCAATTCCTTAGTAGCAACATGTCCACACAAGGGCTTCAAAATACGAATGTGGTGGGTGAAGATGACACATTCTGTTTATAACACTGGCCCACTTGATTATAAAAGAAAGAGGGAAATTACTGTTCTAGAAGAACTTAAATTCATATGATGGTGACTAATATCCAATGTCAAACTGATTACACTTAGAAGTTTCTAGGATACACAACTCTGCTTTTTTCAGTGAGAAAGTTTCCAGGAAGATGTAGCTAGGAGGGAAGGCCCACCCTGGTATGGGGTGTCTATCCCATGGCCTGGTATCCTGGGATGAATAAACAGGGAAGTGCACCAGGAAACTAGCACTCACTTCTCTGTGACTCCTCAGTTTGCACACAGTATGACCTGTCACCTCATACTCCATCCCTCATAACTAGTGGCCCTCTTGCCACCACTCCTGACATGATGGACTCTGCCCTCAGGATGTTGTCATAGCAACCAGAAATCTAAACAAACTGTTCTTCAGAGTGCAATGAGCAGAACTAAGCTGTAAATGTGTAATAGACATTGATTGGCTTTGGTGGGGCTGGATTGATTCATAGTGATCCAACTTAGGTCATCTTAGTTACACCCTCAGCAAACACTTTTATATTTTATTTAAGACAAGATTTTGAATGTAGCTTACCCTGATTCTTGAACCTTATATAGCCTCTTGTTAAGCTCTTAATTCTGCTGCCTTATCCTCCTAGTGCTGTATTCATGTGTCATCAACCCCTGCTGAACTAGATTAAAATATTTAGATTCATCTGTTTTATATCATGTGTATGAGTGTTCTCTTTGCATGCATGTCTGTGTGTCATGCATGTCTGTGTGCACCGTGCCTGCAGAGACTGGGATCTGACCTCAGTTTTCTATGAGAGCAACAAGTGCTGGTCAGCACTGAACCATCTCCCTACCCCACTAAACTTATTGACTTTTAAGCTCCCCCTTCTGTCACCGCCCCCCCCCCAGGGCTTTTATACACTGTGAGAAACTCTCTCTCAAAAAACAAAGAAAACCTTGCTCCTGTCAGTCTGTCCCATACCCCCACAGCCACAGCCTCACCCACCCCCCATGATACCACCCATCTCACTCCACCACTGAGACCACAGCCTGTGGGCTACAGTATGAATTTCCTCATAGATGTTACACTAAGCATGTGTCTTAGTTAGGGTTTCTATTGCTGCATGGACACACCCTGACCAAAAAGCAAGTTTTGGAGGAAAGGGTTTACTTGGCTTACACTTCCACAGTGTAGTCCGCATTGAAGGAAGCCTGGACAAGAACTCAAACCACTCAGGAACATGGAGGGAGAAGCTTATGCAGAGGCTGGGCTCTCCCACACCAATGACTTGTTAAGAAAATGTCCTGTGCAGCTCTCCTGGGCAGCAGAGCCTGAAGGCTAGCCCAGCCCATGACCAGCTGTGGCAGGCACTCAGGTGAGCTGGTCCTGCCACTCACAGGGGCAGTGTGCAGAGCTGGGCCTGGTGGCACAGGTGCAGGAAAGTGGCCTGGCTGAGCAACTCAGCTACCACTCAGGCCCAGATCCACAGAAATAAGTTGGCTCACGCCAGCATCCATCCCATCTGTGAACTTCTGGAACATGTGAAGGGGTTGGTCCTGCATAGTTGCAGGATCTCCATGACACAGGATATCTGACATAGGATATCTGAAAAGGTCCAGGGCAGGATCCAGTATGGACAGTGTAGCAGAAGCCAGAAGCTTGGAACTAGACCAATATCTCATGGAAATAAACATTTGCAAGTAAAGATGTTTGAGAAAACGAGTTTATTGTGTACTATAATGTGACAAACCATAGCTTCCATGGTGAGATTTTTTTCATTGTAAATCTTTATTTAGTTTTTTATTTTTTTCTTTTTCATTAGAGGTTGCAGGGGCAGAGGGCAGTTACGGAGGGATGGGGAGATGACTGGAATTGGGATGCAATCTACAGAGAATCAATACAACAAAGTTAAAAAAAGAAAGAAAAGTCCTGCAGGCTTAGCTGAAGCCTGACCCTTTGTTTTTTTTTTTTTTTTAAGATTTTATTTATTATGTATACAGCATTCTGCCTCCATGTATATCACACCAGAAGAGGGCACCAGGTCTCATAACAGATTGTTGTGAGCCATCATATGGTTGCTGGGAATTGAACTCAGGACCTCTGGAAGAGCAGTCAGTGCTCTTAACCCCTGGGCCGTCTCTCTTGCCCAAGCCTGATTTTTTTTTTTTTTTTTTTCTCTCTTTTTTTTTTTTTTTTTTTTTTTCCCCTTTTTTTTTTTTTTTTCTGATGCCAATTTCTCTGTGGCTTTGGAGGCTGTCCTGGAACTAGCTCTTGTAGACCAGGCTGGTCTCAAATTCAAAGATCTGCCTGTCTCTACCTCCCGATGGGATTAAAGGGGTATGCTATCATGGCCCGGCTGAAGCCTGATCTTATGGAAAGCATTTCCTTGTCTCAGTTGAGGTCCACAGGAGGGAATGGTTGGTTGGCAGCAGATCTCCACTGGGAAATCCTTTCCAGTTACAGAGACTTGCAGGCTTGGCCCACTTGTGGCCATGAAGTCCTTCAACTGTAACAGGGCAAAAGGATGGCATTGTTGAAGACTCCAGGTGCTCCTTGAGAGCATCAGCTAATACATGTCCAGTGGACATGTGTGAACTCACGCACCAATGCTACCAGAGCCTGGCTTGTCAGCCATCAAGCTGTTGACCCATTCCTCTGTGGTAAACCTCTTCACACAGCTGCCTTCCACGCGCCAAGAATTGGGCTCTGCAGCAAACACAGCACAGCAGAATCTCTCCACTCTGAGCGCACAGACATATGAACACACAGTTCCCTGTCTGTGGACTGGGATGAATTTGCATGTGTACTTTATCTTCTCCTGCTCCTCACAGAAGTGAATGACAGGCAGCTGCCGGATGCACTCCTCTATTTCACTCTCTAGGTGCCCAAGATCACTCTCATCTGCTTCAAAACCAAGTATTTGTTGTTTCTTTCCATCCAAACCAATGAACAAATATCCCCCTTCAGTGTTTGCAAATGCAGAAACTGTTCGAGAGATGAGCTCTTTAGTGTGTTTTTGCAGCTGTTTCCCTGAAAGCAATGTCACTTCAGCATAGGTTGACCTGGTGAAGGGGAAGTCTTCCTGGTACTGAAATTGGGTCTTGTTGAAAACTGCAGCAGCCAGGTCCTCTAGGAGACTTTCTTCTTCTACTCCAGGGCAGGCTCTACCTACAGGAGGCTCTGGTCTGACACAGGATCTCCCTCCATTTTCCTCCAGTTCTTGGAGGAACTCAAGAGCATCAGAGGCAACCACTTCAACTGAGGACGACCAGGTTCTTACGTACAAATTGGTTCTCAGGGTGCCAATCGGCAGCCCAAAGATGTCTGCACTCCAAGATTTCACAAAGATGTAAAAGTATCCTCCCTGCTCCATGAAGTCTAGGTGCCTCCCCACAAATGGCAGACATTTACAAAGAGAGGCTTCCAAATCCAGTCCCAGGCCATCCCTGTTGAAGCTATAATTTTCATTTTCAATTTTAACCTTGATCGCTCCACCTCCAGAGTTGAGGAGAGCACACACAGCTCGAGAAATATTTTCACTCTCCCGTTTTCTGAGGAGAGGGTTCTGCATTTTCTTTCTATTCTTCTCCCCAAGTGTGATGGCTCCTAAATATAGAACCAGCTCAGCATAGTCTGTTTCCAGATCAACAGTGATGGACATTTCCCCAGCAGCCTTTGCATTTTCAAGCTGAATTTCTTTCCTGTAAAACACACAGAGCCTTTAGAATGAGAAAAACCCTGGAGAGAGCAAGTTCTGTACTGTGAAGCTCACAGCATAATCCTTGGCTATGTATGTTCCACAGGACCGGTCACTGTGCAGGTAGAGAAGTGGTTCTTTCCCTCAGCCTTTGCACTCAGTAGCTGAACTTATATGCCTACTGGGTTTTCAGATGTGATGTTACAAGTGTAGTTAAACCCTTCCAATTTTCAATCTTATTTTAATCTTCCCTTATCATTTTCCAGTATTTAATATTGTATTCAGCCTCCTCTAAATAAACCCTCAGTGGAATCTGTGTGGTTTTCATCTTTTATGTATCATGGGCTTTAGTTACACCAGTTTTTAGACTTAGTTACTTTATGTGTACTGGTATTTTGCCTGCATGTATGTCTGGATGTCACATGCATGCAGTAGCCTGGAGGCCAGAAGATATCATCAGATCCTTAGAACTGGAGTTACAGGTGGTTGAAAGCCCCATGCTGGTGTTCTGGAAGAGCAGCCAGTGCCCCTACCATTTCTGAGCCATTTCTTTAGCCCAGCTTTGAAATGATTTATGATTAGCATCCATTTTGTCCATTTTGTAATTAGGCTATTTGTTTACATTTGGCTAAGTGCATTATCCACTGGGATATTAATCAATCCATTATCAGACTGTGTTACAAATCTTTTCTCCCTCTGTAGATTGTCTCTGTTTATTGCTTCCTTTGCTGCGCAGGAACATTCTAGTTTGATAGAATCACAGGTCTACATTGGGATTTTTTTTTTTCTTCCTTGCTTGTGGTTTAGGAAACCTCTGCACTCGTTTCCTCTCTGTTGCTGTGACAAATATCCTGACCATAAGCAACTTTGGGATAAAACATGTTTATTTACAAATGCATCCAGATCACCATCCACCCCTGAGGGATGTCAAAGCAGGAACTTGAAGACAGGCCTGCTGCTATTCCACACAACATTACCTATGAGCAAAGAACTCACTTCACAGCCAAAGAAATATACCAGGGACCCTGGAGGATGTTGCTGGCTGGCTGGCTTTCTTCTGCTGTTTGATTCTCCCTGCCTAGGGTATGGGGCTGCCCAAAGTAGTGTGGGCCTCCTACATCAATTATCAAGACAATCTCATACATGTGGTTACAGGCCAATCAGATATAGGCAATCCTTCAGTTGATGTACTTTTCCCAGATAATTCTAGGTTCTATTACATTGACAGCAAAGCCAATCAAGGCAACATCCAAATGACCTTTGCCAAAGCCAATGTCACAGAACTCCTCTTCTGTGTCTTCTGTTAGCAGCTTTTCTATTTCTTATATTTCTTTCCTGGTCTTACCTTTACATGTTCAATTCATTTTGTAGTTGGCTTGTGTAATGTGGTGTGAGAAAAGTTCTAATTTCATTTTCAACAAGTGGACATCACCTCAAATGCATGAACGACTTTGTCTACTGCCTAGGGTCTTTCTCGGAAGCCCATGTGCTTCCTGCTTTTGTATGGGCCATGATTTGCTGTTATTCATGAGTTTTGGTTGAAAACTGGATGGTTAAGAAAGTCACTCGCTCTGCTAATCTTCCAGAGCTCCTTCATGCCTGTCTTTGCTGATGAGCTGGGCAGGCCCTCAGCCTCAGCATGAAGTCATATTTAAGGTCTGTGTGGCTGGGGAGGTGGCTCTGTAGGAAAAGTGCTTGTTGTGCAAGCATGAGGACAGGAGGTTGGATTCCAGCACCCACATCAAAAGCTGAGAATGACTTCGTGTGTCTAACACCCCCAATGTTGGTAGGCAAAGAGGGGGACCCCTGGGTCTAACTAACCAGGTAGTTCCTTCTTCTCAAATTATAGCCCTGACTCTGGGGAAATTCTCTCAGAAGGGAACTTGGGGTTCAGGGTGTCTATCTTTGGCAGGAAACAGGACGACATTCAGATATCCTTACTCTGCCACAGTAACAGGTTGCTAAGAAGAAGTCACAGAAAGAGGGGACAGGTGTGATCGAGCCACTCAGATGTGGGCCCATTTCCCCTAATGCCCTGCCAGAGATCATCATCTCCACCCAAAGGGCTGCAAAGACCTAGCATGGTGTTGGCCCTGGGAGCCTGTTGTGGGCATTGTGAGCTACATGGCGAATTACAGGACACCCTGGGGTTCACACCAAGACCCTGTATGCCTCCCTCCCCTCTAAAATACTAAAAGAAAACCACAGGAAAAGCAAACTGGATCTAAAGCAGCCTGTACTGCCGAGAAGGGAGAGAAGCGAGCAGCTCCCTTTCAGCCCAGTTAATAGTTAAAGCTGCAGCCCCACCCTGATCTTTGTCCTGCTGAGCAGTTTCAGTTCCTCATTCCTTCCCAGGCCCTCCGGTCCAGCACCCTCCTTATCAGGCCCTGTTCTAAGCCAGCACACCTGGTTCACTGTCCACATGAAAAGGGGACAAAAGTCTCACACCAAAGTGCCAAAGAACAATACTCAAGTCCCCAGGAAATTTGGAACTCAAGGGGGATACAATATAGTCATATTTAAGAGTTGTGTGCTAGCCTGGGACACTGACCATCTCATTCTTAACACCTGTGACTAGGTTAAATTTTCCATGGTTCAAAATTCCCTTCTTTTAAACACGTATCTGGGACACAGTCCTTCAGAAACAAACAGGACAGACATGTGAGCCACAATTCCAGTCATGTAAATTCATTAACCTCACTGAATCTTTAGGTCTGGTTTACAAATGGATTCCCCACCCCCAAACCCACCCCAAAAGTGTGCACTGGGGAAAATTCTCTGAGATTTTGACTTGGGAATTTAAGGAGTCTTGTTAGCTGTCTTCAGAGGGGAAGAACATGGCATTCAGATGCCAGCACTGTTTACTGGCAGGAAAACAGACTGGGACGGAAGCAGGACTCAGGCTCAGACCAAGCAGAAAGAGCTCTCTCCCTGAACTCTTAAGCCCTCCCCCCACCCCAGCAGACAAAGGCATTTGCCCTCACCCACAGCTCACCAGGTCCTCAAGTCCTCCACAGCCTGTACTTTGTCAAAATGAGCTATGAAGACACCAAAAGCCAATGTTCCAAGTAGGAAAATAAACTAACCAAGGTCCCCTGAGAGACAGTGTTTGTACTGACGACCCCCAGATGATCCTAGTGCCACTAGATTGTACCCGGAGACGGAAAAGAGGGACAGAAAGGACAGAAGGGGTTGGGACTTGAGTAGGCTGTAATGAAGTGGTCACTTACCCATGAGCTCTGCTGTTGCCTAGCTGTGCTGTTTGAAGTCCAGGGCTCATACCTGCTCCCAGTCAGACTCTTGGTGAAGTGAGGCAGTCTGGAGTCACCTGAGGAACAACACCCCACTGCTACAAAACCTGTCCGGGGAATGTCTTCCAGGATGGGCTCCGTCTCTTGGCGAGTCCTAGCCACAGCCCAGGTTGTGCCTTAGCCTCTAAGCCTATCCTAGTCCTTTCTTCTTTGCTGCACCTAATCTTTGAGCAGATTGCTCCTGCCTCAGTGCTGGCGTCCGACTGGGAACAAGAGAGCTACGTGCGAGTCTTTAACCACCCCACCCCCAATCCAGGAAGTGAAATCACGAACTGGAAGCCGGGAGGCGCCCAGGGCGTTTTCTCTTGCTCGCAATGAAAAACAGGCTCAGGGTTGAGTAACCTAACCTTTACATCGCCTACTGCAACTGGCGTTCCCTGAGCAACAGGGCTGTCCCTTTGCTCAAAAGGTGCCGGTTAATGCCCCGGGAGTCACTTCAGCACAGGGCTTAATGCTCCAGGGGAAATGCAGATGGGTCAGAGGCCCCTCTCCATGCCCCCAGGATCCTAGAGCCCTCTGTGGGATTCCCAGAGCTATCCTATGGTGACCACCCCACTTGCCACTTGGTTATAGTAATATTTCCAACGTTGTTGCATCGAAACCTGCCCTAAGAAACTGATTCTGGTTTTGAGCACATACGAATTGCGCAATATATTCGGGTTCCTTGTTAGGTTTTCATAACGTGCTTTGATCATGCTCCGCCCACCGTCACCCTCCCTTATTCTCTTTTTCCTAAGAAACAGCAGCCTTGGAAAGGCAAGGACTCCGGAAATGTTCAGCTCACTAGGGCGTCTCTGCAGGGAACTGCTTTGTCTGAGAGCGCCACCAAACCCCACCCCTGACTCTCCACGGCCTGCTGGAAGATGTGCAGCCCAGAATTCCTCTGTCCCTCCACTAGTGGTCCAGAACCAGGGTTCATCCACGTAGGCTGAACTTCGTCTCCTGTCACCACTAGGCCAGATCTGAGGAAATCGCTCCACAGACTTTAACAGTCTTTTCTTTAATCTTTAACGTAAGAAATCACAGGGCGGTGGGAGTTTCCTGGGGTGGCAGGAAGCAATGAAGAAGAAACCACATGCAAATTCAGAGGGAGGATATTTGGATCGGGCAGGGATGGAAATCCCCCTCTGTGTTCAGGGTGTCAGGAGGTCCGGCAGGAAGTCGCTACGGGGAGTGAGTCAGCGAGCCCAGTCCAGTGGGCCACCCTCCCCCTCACACCAAGCGAGAGCCTTGTGGGTACAAAAGCACCCTTCCCCCTTCTTAGGGAAAAACCTAGGATTAGCATGAGGGCCAGGGCAAGCCAATACCCTGGGGCTTTAGAGGATCACTGGGAGGAAGGGAAGAGGGTAAAAAAACTGGCAGAACCGGGGAGGAGCAGCATCTAGAGGCCGCTGAAAAAGCCTTGCCAGTGCCTGTGGTCTGTGTGCCTGCACACTGTCCAACTGAGACTCTCCTGCTCCCCCCTGTTATTCTTTTGCTTAAATTAGAAAGAAGAGCGCCAGGTGAGACATGAGACATATTAACCAGTTTATTATAGGCCTGGGAAAGCTGGTGAGAGAGAAAGAGAAGGACAGAGAGTGAGGAAGAGAGAGCGTGAAGAAGCAAAGAGAGCAAAGCAGGGAAGTTGGAACTTTTAAAGGGAAGACTGCGCATGTGCACTGAGGTTCCACGCATGCCCAGAGTCCTCATGCAGGGCAGGCCGGAATGCAGAATGCATGCGGGTGATGTGGCAATGGCTCGTCCCTGGGACGGGGGTCTGTCTCTTAAAGAGGTAGAGCCGGTCAGCATTAAAGCCTGAACCTTACACACACACACACACACACACACACACACACACACTCCCCCTTCCTCCTAGCTTCTCCTTCAATCATTCCTCAGAGCCCTGGTTCGTACCAAAGCCAGCAAAACTGAATTCAACTACAAAGTTCAGGGTGTGGAAGAGACTTCAGATTAGGACTGCAGCAAACTTTTCAATGTCCTGATGAAGTCCAAAGGACAAAGCCCAGGCTCAAGGAAGAAGCCATCAAGGAGAGCTTTCGGCAGAACAAACTCTGCCCAACATTGTTGCATAAGAGATCAAAAGTGGATGATGGAAGCAGAGGCAGACACCCACAGATATACACTGAACTGAACTCTGGAACCTAGTTGCAGAGAGGGAGGAATGAAGATCAAAGGGGTCCAGACCAAGCCGGTGAAACCCACAGAAACAGCTGGCCTGAACAAGGGGGAGCACATCGACCCCAGACTGCTGTCTGGGAGGCCTTCACGGACCGATCCAGACCCCTGAACATGGATGTCAATGAGGAGGCCTCTGCACTCTAGGGGGCCCCTGGTAGTGGATTAGTATTTTTTCCTGGTGTAAGAAGGGATTTTGAGCAAGGCATTGGTGGCACATGCCTTTATTCCCAGCACTCGGGAGGCAGAAGCAGGTGGATCTCTGTGAGTTTGAGACAACCCTGGTCTACAAGAGCTAGTGAAGGGACCAGCTTCCCTTTCGGCAGCCAAAACAGCCGAACACGTGCTTGCCACAAACTTGCCTTGGTCACTTAGAGGTCAGATGCCTGCCTTGTGACAAGGACCCAATCAGAAGTTAGACACTAGAAAGCCAAATGCCTGCCTCTTGACAAGGAAACAATCAAAAGTTAGTCACTAGAAAGTCAGATGCCTGTCTCGTGACAAGGAGCCAATCAGAAGTTAGCTGGCAGCGCTATGCTTATGGCTCTGGGTGTGCTTTACGGACAAGCGCACAGCAATGATGCGCAGAGCATAGCAACCACCCTGGGAGGGCCTATGGGCCATAACAACCAGTTGACCAATCAACACAGGGCAAACCCTCCAAGCCTGGAGGCACACCAATCCTGAGCCTGTGCATACCCCTAGACACTCACCTTATGATGCCCTATAAAGATCTGTATGCAGCGGCTTCGAACTGTCTTTGCTAGCCATCCGCCATGGTGGGTGGGTCAAAGACCCGAGCTAACAAGGGGTTAGCTCGTTAAACTGCAATAAAGCCTCATGCAATTTTCATCAAGCTTTCGCCTCCATTTTGTGATTGGGGTGGTCGAGGTGCTGGGCTAAGATTCTGGAAGCCTCGGCTTTCCGAGGGTCTTACACTAGTTCCAGGACAGCCGCCAAAGCTACAGAGAAGCCCTGTCTCAAAAAACCAAAATGGACTTTGAGAGTCCATCCCATGTCTCACATCTCGGCCTAGACACATGGGAGAGGGCCTAGGCCCGGCCCAGGATGATGTGGTGGACTTTGGGGAGCCCCGTCGAGGGCCCTACCCAGCCTGGGGAGTGGAGGGTGGATGGGGTGGGGGATAGGTGGGAGGTTGGGGGGAAAGAGGTTGGGGGGAGGGGAAGGAGAGTGAGGAGGGATTGACATGTGAAGCAAACTTGTTCCTAATTTGAACTAATAAAAAAAATTACAAAAAAAAAAAGAAAGATCAAAAGTGATTTCCAAGACCTCAGTTGTAGGGCAACAAAGTTTGTCAGCCATGCACAAGTGGGTTCAGGATGTTTAGGGGTTGCCCAGTGTGGTGGTTCACACCTTTATTTCATTTTATTTTTTAGATTTCCTTATTTATTATGTATATAGTGTTCTGTGTGCACATATGCCTGCAGGCCAGAAGAGGGCATCGGATCCTACTAGGGATGGTTGTGAGCCACCATGTGATTTTTGGGAATTGAACTCAGGACCTCTGGAAGAGCAGTCAGTGCTCTTAACCTCTGAGCCATCTCTCCAGCCTGATTCACACCTTTAATCCCAGCACTTGGGAGGCAGAAGCATGTGGGTCTCTGTGAGTTCAAGGCCAGCCTGGTCTATAAAGAGTGAGTTCCAAGACAACCAGAACAGTTACAAAGAGAAACCCTGTTTCGAAAAACAAACAAACAAAAGATATTTAGAGTTTATTTTGAAAACATATTTTCTTTGACACGTTTAATTGCAGTCTTTAAAGGACATCCTTAAAATTTAATATAACACAGTGTGTGTGTGTGTGTGTGTGTGTGTGTGTGTGTGTGTGTGTTGTGTGTGTGTGTGCATGTTGAGGGAAGTGCACAGATGTGTGCACATGCTTGTGGAGACCTGAGGCCAATATCAGGTGTCATCCTTTGAGATAGGATCTTTCTTTGACCTGGAGCTCAGCAATCAGGCTAAGCTGGCCAGTGAGTAGTCTTCCCTTCTCCACTTTCCCAACACTGGAATTACAATCATGGAATTTTATGTGTGTTTTGGGTATCAAGTTCAGGTCTTCCTGTGTGCAGGGCAAGCCTTGGGTGGTCATAATCAACCAGGAGCTGCCCTTCCGCATAGGCCTGCAGTCAGTTGACAGGAATTAGCCATAGAGTGTATGGAGAAGCCAGGAAGATGGATATAGTTGTATCTCATGGAGTGGGGAGGGACTTGGAGTTTTTGCAATCTTTCTTGGTTTAGGATGGCTGGTGATATGCTCTCTTTCTTGCTGGGTCTGCAGCCAAAAGGGAAGGTCAGCAGGTTGTTTCTCAGTCTCTCTGAAGTAGCAGATTTTCACCTCAACATCTGACTCCTAACTCTTTATTGGTAAATATAATGATAGACACTTGGTTATAAACTACATTTGTGGCAGAGCAGAGCTGGTTTGAGTTCTTGTCCAGGCTTCCTTCAATGCGGACTACACTGTGGAAGTGTAAGCCAAGTAAACCCTTTCCTCCAAAACTTGCTTTTTGGTCAGGGTGTGTCCATGGAGCAATAGAAACCGAAACTAAGACACAAGCTTAGTGTAACTCTATGAGGAAATGCTTATTGTAGCCCACTTGCTGTGGGCTCAGTGGTGGAGTGAGGAGGGTGGTATCATGGGGGTGGGTGAAGCCATGGCTGTGGGGGTATGGGACAGACTGACAGGAGCAAGGTTTTCTTTGTTTTTTGAGAGAGAGTTTCTCACAGTGTATAAAAGCCCTGGGGGGGGTGACAGAGGGGGAGCTTAAAAGTCAGTGAGTTTAGTGGGGTAGGGAGATGGTTCAATGGTTACCAGCACCTATTGCTCTTATAGAAAACTGAGGTGAGATCCCAGCCTCTGCAGGCACCATGCACACAGTGACACACAGACATGCATGCAAAGAGAACACTCATACACATGATATAAAACAGATGAATCTAAATATTTTAATTTAGTTCAGCAGGGGTTGATGACACATGAATACAGCACTAGGAGGATAAGGCAGCAGAATTAAGAGCTTAACAAGAGGCTATATAAGGTTCAAGAGTCAGGGTAAGCTACATTCAAAATCTTGTCTTAAACAAAATATAAAAGTGTTTGCTGAGGTTGTAACTAAGATGACCTAAGTTGGATCACTATGAATTAATCCAGCCCCACCAAAGCCAATCAATGTCTATTACACATTTACATCTCAGTGCTGCTCTTTGCCCTCTGAAGAACAATTTGTTTAGATTTCTGGTTGCTATGACAACATCCTGAGGGCAGAGTCCATCATGTCAGGGATGGAGTGGTGGCAAGAGGGCCACTAGTTATGAAGGATGGAGTATGAGGTGACAGGTCATACTGTGTGCAAACTGAGGAGTCAGAGAGAAGTGAATGCTAGTTTCCTGGTGCACTTCCCTGTTTATTCATCCCAGGATACCAGGCCATGGGATAGACACCCCATACCAGGGTGGGCCTTCCCTCCTAGCTACATCTTCCTGGAAACTTTCTCACTGAAAAAAGCAGAGTTGTGTATCCTAGAAACTTCTAAGTGTAATCAGTTTGACATTGGATATTAGTCACCATCATATGAATTTAAGTTCTTCTAGAACAGTAATTTCCCTCTTTCTTTTATAATCAAGTGGGCCAGTGTTATAAACAGAATGTGTCATCTTCACCCACCACATTCGTATTTTGAAGCCCTTGTGTGGACATGGTGCTACTAAGGAATTGAGCAAGTTTAAACAATGTCCTGAGGGTGAAACATCACATGGACTAGTGTCCTTATGAGGTGGCATGACAGAGTGCTTGCTTCCCTGTCCTTATGTGCAGGTGGCCATGAGAGCACAGGATGACTGGCAGGTAATTAAGGGGCCTCTGAATAAACCCTGCTCTGCTCAATCTTGGTCCTGGAATCCCTAACCACAGGAACTGTGGGAAATGAATTTCTGTTAAGACACCCAGTCTCTGGTATCTTCTACTGCAACAAAGAAGACTAAGGAGGCAGGGCAAAGTTTATGCTTCTAACTAAACACACTGACTGACTTTGCTATGTCAAAGCTAGACTCAAGGTGTAGCTCAGTGGACAAAAGCATGTTGGGATGTGCTACCCTGAGTTTATTTAGCCTCTCCTGAGCAAATTGGGAGCATGGGGGGATGGTGGAGGAAGGAGATAGGAGAATAAGAAGGGGTGAAGAGGAGGGATGAGGAGGACGTGAGGGAGCAGGAAGGCTGAGTTGGGGGAAGAATAGAGGAGAGCATTATAAGAGATACCATAATAGAGGGAGCCCTTATAGGTTTAAAGAGAAATCAGACACTAGGAAAATGTCTGGAGATCTAAAAGGTGTCACCAACTAACAATCTAAGCAACAGAGGAGAGGCCACCTTAAATGCCCGCCACTGATAATGAGATTGATGATTAACTTATATGCCATTTTTTTCCTTCATCCAGCAGCTGGTGGAAGTAGAAGCAGACACTCACAGCTAACCAATGAACTGAACTGGAATCCTGTTGCAGAGAACGAGGAGTGATGAGCAAAGGGGTCAAGACCAGGCTGGTGTAA